CACTTATTTAATGTTTATTACATAATTATTTTAACTGTCAAATTACCAAAGAAGTTAATCAGAAATATTTGTCAAATGATTCAGAAGAGATCAGAGATGTCATAAAATGAAATGTTTGATCTGTGCATATTTTAAAGACTACATTTTTCAGGTGTAAATACCTTGCACTGATAAATGTTATTAAATAAAAAAAAAATGAAAAATTTATGCACACGTCTTAAAAGTGCTGTTCTGTCTTTAGGCTTTTCTTCAGAGGCGTGGACTACAGCAGGACCTCTGTGAGTTCTGCCACAATCACAACTACAACCTGGTGGTTGCCATGACAATCTCTTTCAATGACAGCAAAGAGCCCTTCCGACAGTTAGCCGTCTACAGTTCCAGCACTGTCTACAGGGAAGAGGTACTCAGTGCTTTATACCAAAGACTATAGAATACCCAAGACGTGTCACTCGTATAGTTATGAATGGGGAAAAATGCAAAGCTCAATATGGCCGCACAATCGCAGGAAGCCCCGCCTTCTGAATGAAAGAGTCAATCGCTAATGGTAAAGTCAGCACGTCACTGCAGCTGCCGTTAGAAGTCCGGGTTGCTATAGAAACAGTCAGGGCTCAGGACTGCGCATGCGCACTGGCTGATCTAGCCTGAATAATAAGCTTTTATAATGCTATTTGAGCAAAATAAACAACATTTATGACACAGTTGATATCAGATTTCTTTGGTGATTTCAAATATGAAATTTAATCGCAAGCTTAGTGAACAGTTTTGTAGAATTTGATATTTCCCCATTCAAAGAGATAGGAGTTGCACTTGCATGCCCGAGAGGCGTTTCAAAGATGGCCGCCGAGTGACATGACTTGTCTTAAAGGGACTTTGTTTATACCTTTCTGGGAATGAAGGTTCAAATGGCTTACCTATAATTGACTCTGCATATTTGGCCAGATTAGAAGTTTAAAAATATAGAAAATTAATTTTGAAACACAAAGCACATTCTTATGGTAAACCCTCAGCAAGGATTAAGATCAGAAAAGATCTTTCTAACCAGTTTACAGGGTTTCCCAGTTTGTCCTTTATTATGCTTTATTTCCAGTCTTTTAATGTTGTAATGTAAAAAATGGCAACCATTGCTTGAGCCAGTCAATTCCTGATCACTGAATATAGTTTTTTACTTGGAAATACAATACTGTTCAAAAGTAAGATTTTTTTGAAATTCTTTTATTCAGCAAGGATGCATTACATGGATCAAAAGTGACAGTATATGACATTTATAATATTACAAAAGATGTTTATTTCAAATAAATGATTTATTTGAACATTCTATTCATCAAAGAATCCTGAAAAAAATGTATCACAGTTTGCACAAAAATATTCAGTGTCACACCACTGAAGATAATAATAAGAAATGTTTCTTGAGCACCAAATCAGCATATTAGATTGATTTCTGAAGGATCATGTGACACTGAAGCCTGGAATAATGGCTGCTGAAAATTCAGCTTTGCATAACAGGAATAAATTACATTTTAAATATATTAAAACAGAAAAAAAACAAGTTTAAATTGTAGTAATATTTAACAATATTAACTGTAATTTTGCTAAATAAATGCGATATTAAATGATGAATAAATGAAAAATGCTGAGCATAAGAAACTTATTTCTAAAATATTGAAAATCTTACCGATCCTAAACTTTTCAACAGTAGTGTATAAAATAAAATAAATTGTGAATGACATTTCCAGTTGAATTAAAGATTTTTCTCACTTTACTAATTGATATCTGTATTTTCTTTTTTCATAGATGAGTAAAGCACTAGAAAAAGCCAAAAACAACATTCTGGACCTTAAGCCAATGAGCAGTTCATATCCGGATGTGAAGGCCTTTATACAGGGTAACACATTAGGATCCCGCAAGAAGGTAATGCCCATAATCACAGACTTCCTGAAGGAGAGGGAAAAGAAAGCGTATCAATGTGGGAACATAGAGGACCTAGATCTGGACGATGATTCCAATCAGAACCAGAGTGAATCACAACAATGTCCCGAGGACGCTGGGATTGAGGATGATACCCAAGTTCCTCCAACACCAATGAACAGTCTGGTGGAGGGTTGTCCCTTAGACAATGGCCTACCAAAAATCAGTCCTGAGGTTTTGGTGGAGAAAGTTAGCAAGATGGCCAGCATGGAGGACACGTCTCCTGAGGGACAGTGATGAGAATCTGTTGTCAAAGAGAGTCTTGAATACGAGCTGGAGAAGGAAAGTCCTTCTGCATCTTCAAGAGGATGAAGTGCATATCCAACAGTGCTGCATCAGGGCATGAGAATGAAATGGCACTTTTTTGATCTGGGTAACTCACAAAGGTACGATAGTCTGAAGAGACCATTCGGTTGACTGGTACATGATCATTCGAATGGAGCATTACATAAATGCATTATATGTACAATGTTTAAAGTTTGGCTGCCGTAAAAAAAACAAATTCAGGTTTAGGCTGTTTATTTATTGTTCACAGTCATATTCATGTTTGATCTTCTAAATTAATCAGAAGTCTCATTAAGACATATAAGCACATTATCTAAAATTTACTATAAGCACCCAGTGCAAGCTAGCTACTGACAGTGCGTAATGAATTTCTGGTATTATACAATTAATTATAACATGGTAGCTATCGTTGCTTTTGATGCCAGTAACATACTTCATTCTTCGTAGTGTTAATTAAAGAAGTTATTTTCAGCTTGTCTGCACATCACCTCTGTGGCATGGCATTGATTTCCCCAGAAAATCATTTTGACTTCTCCCTTGATTTATAAAAGCAAATGGAAATTGCATTTACAGTAAGACTCTCACAGTATTATCCTAGCAGGCAAGCAATTTTTTAATCTCATGTGGATACTGAGCTAAACTACCAGTAACACCCCCCTCTGTGGCCTTTTGCATGTTATAGGTGTTAACTGACCTGCTCCTGCTTAGAATCAGGGCACCTGCATTTTAGTCATTGAGATTTTACCATTAACTACCAAAGACCTCAGTTATATTTGTGTGTGAGGCATGTTAAACATTTGATCATTTGAGATTTAAAACTTCAGTATTCTGTTCATTTATATTATTTTATGTTACATAATTTATTTGATGATTTGATGGCTTTGGGTATATTAGGGTTGAAAAAAATAGTTTTTTCATGAACAGTCAGTTTGATTTGTTATATGGCCTCTAGTTGGGCTGCACGATTATGACAAAAATCATAATTGTCGATTATTCCCTTGAAATTGTAATTGCGATTATTCATTACAATTATTACAATTTACATTGAATGATGTTTATACCATTGTTTGATGCAACTGCATGCCGTATTTTAATATGAAAATAAACAAGCAAAACATTTTTTAGTGCTTTTCTATAGTATTAAGCCTCAAATGTCAAATATACATCGGATTGGTTTCTTCTTTAAATTAAAAAAAAGTAAAAATATGAATGGTATTATAATGTTATACTAAAACTAAAATTAAAATAATGGAAAAAAAACCTTAAGATAACATGTAGAAAGAAAAAAGCGCATTTTAAGCACGCAGAATAACATAAGTGGACTTTAAACGATTACGTAATTGTGGCATCCATAATTGTAATCGCGATTAGAAATTCGATTAATTGTGCAGCCCTAGCCTGTAGCTTATTAGCAGATTCATTCATGCTGGACTATCACTATAATTATAATATTCATTATATTAATAAATACAAAGGCTCAGTCCAAGGCATTTTAAAGGCCTAATTGGACGAATCTTATATAATAACATGTTTTATCGGACAGTTATAGAAGGATGTTTTTTTTTTCCCATAGACAAAAAAGAGCTAATTTAGTTACGAGTTAAACAAAATCAGTTAATATTGGACTTGAAACATATAAGATGGTATGTTGGTGTTTTGAGGTGTTGTGTACCCCCTGTGAATTAACCCTGACCAATAGTTTGGTGAGATTTGACATGGTGACAGCAGAGGATTGCTGCATGCTGCCTCAGGAGAACTAAGCACATTTTTACTAGTCGATTCCGCCAAACTATATAACAACAATATCATAATAATGTTATTGATTTTGTATGAAATGCTGATTTAATCTAAATGTATTAATGTGCTATGGTTGTGAAACAGGACATTCGAGAGCACATCCTCTGTCAAGTATTTTATTGCCAAGGACTTTTTTTATTTTATGTTCTCTGTGACTGAGTATGAATAAAACATTTTCAAATAGTTCCATATGTAGTTTGTGAGCTTTTTCTGTACAAAGACACAGTTTCATTGCAGTCTCATTTTTTATTTTTCTTGGACTAATAGTTCGGGGTCAGTAATATTTTGTCATGTTTCTTATCCTCATCAAGGCTGCATTTATTTGATTAAAAAACAGGAAAATCATTAATATAGTGAAATATTATTACAATGTAATATTCAAATACAAATATGTTATAAAAATGTATATTGTCAACATTCATTGCTAAAGTTTTCAGTGTCTCACGATCCTTTATAAATCATTCTAATATGCTAATTTGGTGCTCAAATAACTTCTTGTTATCAGTGTTGAAACCAGTTGTGCGGCATAATATTTTTGTGGAAATATTTTAAGATTCTTTGAATAAAAAGATTAAAAGAACAACATTTATTTGAAATAGCTTTTATTTGAATAATGTAAATGTCTTTACTGTCACTTTTGATCAGATTAATGAATCCTTGCTGAATAGAAGTATTAATCTTACTGATAAACTTTTGAACAGTAGTGTATGCACCTAATAGAATACAAACAGCTAAATACATGGAGTAGCTAATAGTTTTTAAAGAGGCCTGTAACCTCAAGGGTATTAGGACCATGAAGCCATGCCTGTCTGTGGCATCTTCCTCCACCTTCCCAGCCTTCCCTGTGGGGGAGCAGAAGTTCTCAAAGCAGCTGAGCCAATGGGAGACAGACAATTCAGTCAGCAGAAGTCAGAAATGTTGAAAAACCTGTACTGACAGTCAGGGTGAGTTCCCTTACACAAGACACAAGATACAGACACTGAAACTGGCTTGCATTGTGGCGAAGCTCATGAAACACCTCAGGTCATGGTCATCAACTGAGTTCACTGAATGCATTTCTAATCTAGACACTTTCCTTTAACGACTTTAGACATGGGGACTTACTCAGACCAGAGGGAAGGGTACATGCAAAATGGGTAAGTCAAAATTTAGATTACCTATTGTCATCATCAGAAATCTGTCCCTAAACACTGAAGTAACGATAATAAATTAATGGATTTGTATACAGTGTAATGATTAAGTTAAACTGGCCTCTGTTTATAAAGGTTTCAGTTACTAATACCTGGACAAAACATATTTATAAGATCAAAACAAGTACCATAAGAGGTCATAAGCACATACTGGATGAGCCAGCGACTAACAAACGAGTTGTTGTTAACGTTCTGTTGCACTCTGAAGTGTACAGCAGAAGGACACGAGAGAAATCCTTGTACCACTTCTGTGTCTAGTTATTTAGAAAGGATTTCAGAAAAAGGAAGTTGCCGTTGAACTGATTTCCGGTACTTTTGCCAATCTTCTTGACTAATATTTGAGACCGAACGACCACAGAAAGACATCTCATATCCTGTCGCAGATTTTCTGTCATATTTGACACAATAATAAGGATTCCACTGCTGTCATGAGTTAAAAATGCAAATATAAATGGAAAAACTTGACAAAAATGTCAAGTTTAGTAAGTTTCTATAATGTTTTAAAAGGGGGAAATACTTCTACTCCAATCTTTTCCATTGGCACCACTAAAAAATATATATGTCATTATAACTTTTGATGCTTTTAGACTGTAAAATTGCCATGATATTAAAACTGTTATGCATTATTAATACTACTATAATCATAGAATTGGTCTTTTGACTTGTTAATTTCCATTCCAAATTCCAAGTTCATGTCCGGACAAGAAGAGAATGCATGGAAGTTATGTCATAAAAACCCTCAGTGTTTATGTGATATGACTAATAAATAATACATCCTTAATACAGTAAGTTACAGAATGAGTTACTGAAGTATTTTACCAGCTAAGACAAAGGTTTTCACAACAGGCGATTACTTTACTACATCTTCTAAGAGTTACATCAAGAACAATTGCTGAAACAGTACACACCTCCATGCTTTGCTGTCTGCCACAACTTTATACATTGTTCTAAAAAAATGCCCTACATATTTCTTATAATACATTTTGACATCTGATAAGGTCTCAGTCAACATTGGACTTGAGATTACATGCAACAGTGTCTTGGTGCTGTACTGACTCACAGAGAGTCAGTCAGTAACTAAAAACATACAGCCTCCTGTTTCAGAGCATTTAATGTTTGAAATAATGTAGTCTCTGAGCAATCTTGATGGATAATAGTGTATAGTGTATGTTCAAAGGTTACAGGTTTGAAGCAAAAACAATACCATCAAGATCTGAATGAATTTGGTACTGGCTTCTCATCAGAAACAGGTTGAGTTACGTGGCTCATATGTTGCTGACAGCACAATTACCTGCCCGGAATCAGCTGAAAACAAAACTAGATTTTCTGGTCATTTGTGCCATGTGTAATTACCACATGTGCTGACGTAAAGAAATACTTGAGGTAGAAACAGGAACAAATTTTATATTTGAGTTTGCATTTGACAAGTTTGACAATATTTCAGAATATATTTGAATAGTATAGTCTAGAATGGAAATTACAAGCTACAATATTGGAAAAAAAGTTTAAATATGTAGATACAGTGCATGTTTTGGATAAATCTGTTCCGCATGTATAGAGATGTTTGGGTGCATATGTTGCTGTTTCCATTTTCTCACAAAAATTGCTCCTTGTATGGAAATATATTTCTAAATTGCGCTGTCAGACACAAAATGAATGTCAAATATGAATGACAAATGCAATCACTACAATGAATAAAAGACTACTTGATGGCTTCAAACTGATTTTCAGTTCAGTAAATTGTCATCATCAGAAAATGTTACTGTTGACTCAAATTTTGCACATCACACGTGTAGTAAATGCAGCCATAATTTTGTTTTATGGTTTTAGGACCTAACTAACATGAAAATAATCATAATAATAATTTAAAATCCCAAACAATTTCTTTAGTTTGTGTCACATGTAGTTGTGGCTCAGAAAAAAAAGACACAATTACTCAAAATTGTAAAAGCTTTAAACAACTTTAAACCTCACCAGAGCTTGTGTGAAGCTGTTGAACTCATAGCAGCTGAAGTATAGAATGAAAACTTTCGGGATGAAGACTTTGATTTTGAAAGATTTCATAAATGTTTCTGTTTTAAAAACTAATGACAGACTAATGGTAAACTAATAACAACTAAGGTTAAAGTTTTGCCCCAAGCTGGTCATTTTATTTTTATTTAGCAGAAACTATTGGAATTGCTGGATCTAAATCCCCGCAGCTTTGATGCCTTGGGCTGACATTGGACGTACAGCTGTAGGGTTGTGGGCGGGGCGTTGAAACAGCTCTCTCAGGTGCGGAGGCTGCGTCATCAGGTGTGACGCGCCCTGATTGGCTGAATTTTGTGTTTGGCATGAAGGTTATTTTGCTTTGGTGAGGTAGAGAAAGAACCGCTCTTGTCGTCGAAAGGTAGATGGCGAGGTTCAGTGGCCTATGATACGTAAGTTTAACTATAGCGCTTGTAACGTTCTTAGGCAATACTTCTTTTTTATCAAATGAAATAGCGGTTTGTTTTTGTGTTTGTCTTGATCTCCCGTACAAGGTTAGTGAAAAGGTGAGCTTAGCATGTTTACATATCATTATTTACATATGGCCATAAAGAGCGATGTGATGGGCGTTAGCGAGGTTTCAAGTGTACACAGCCCTGTTTGTACGTGCAGTCTAATCCAACACGAATTTGTCTATCTATCTATCTATCTATCTATCTATCTATCTATCTATCTACCTGTCTGTCTGTCTGTCTGTCTGTCCGTCTGTCCGTCTGTCCGTCCGTCCGTCCGTCCGTCCGTCTGTCTATCTATCAAGGGTTTAACTCACATATTATTTGATCCTTTGCCATTTACTAGTAATGTGGTTTTCCTGCCTTTAACATCAGACTAAAATTATTAGTGTCAATCAATCAGTAACTTATTCTATACCGGACATGTATAGGTGAGAATGATACATTATTACATGTCAAAATTGTCTCCAAATCCTGGAACTTTCCTCACTTCTGCTCTCAAGAAGAGATGAGTTTCATTGAAAAAGGTAGAAAAATGTAATTTATGGGATATAAAATGAGTATATAAAATATTTCACATAAGTTTAAAATAGTTCAAAACAAAATGATATATTTTAACACAGATTTGCTGTTGATTTTTTTGGCATCTAAAATTCTTGCATGAGGTTAAAATGATTGCATGAGGTGCAAACGTAAGCATTAATAAAATATCAAAGACTAAATCAATCTCTGTCATTAACGGCAGTAATTCATTTAGAAACGTTTCCAAATTGCTGGAAGTTAAATATTTTCTATGCATTGATCTTGTGCTGACCTGTTCCGTAATTAAAACAAACAAACCTGGAATGTTGTTTTGACAAAATTGAGGAGTAAGTTACTGTTCTGCAAAGAATTTCATTGTTAATAACTAATAATATGTAGGGACCAAGAAGCCCCTTTGCCTTCCTTTACATTTTCAATTTATTCCTGCAGGCATTCAGGAAACGGCAAGACATTGGCTTTCATCCCCGGCATGGAGCTCCGGGAGGAATGGCAGGATGAGGAGTTCCCCAGGTAAACTGCGTTAACAGATTCATGCACCTTATTTATGTTCATCTAGAGTGCATATGGGATTAAATAATGTGATCTTTGTAGACCTCTTCCTGAGGACACACAGAGTCCTGGCGATGAAGAGGAAAGCCCTGGAACTGAGGCAAACAGGCCTGGTAACCTAATTTCTCCATTTAGTTACTGGCCGAAATATCTCTTATATAAATGTATACACACCACAGTTCAGTTTAGGGTTGTTAAGGTTTTTTTTTATGTTTCTGAAAGAAGCCTCTTATACTCTCCAAGGCTGCTTTATTTGATCAAAAATCCAGTAAAAACAGTAATATTGTGAAATATTATTACAATTTTGAAAAAAAAAAAGGTAACACTTTACTTGAAGGGGTGTACATAAGACTGACATGGCACCTTCATATTCATGACATGACACATGTTATGAATATGAAGGAGGTTTTATGCATGTTTATGACAACTGTCATTAAGTGTCATTCGCTCAGTTATGTCATTTTTAATGCAAATATGACATTATTTGACCTAACCCTAACCCTACCCTTACCCCTAACCATAGCCCATAACAAAGACATCTCAAACAATGTCATCTTTGCATTAAAAATGACATAACTGAGCGAATGACACTTAATGACAGTTGTCATAAACATGCATAAAAAACCTTCATATTCATGACATGTGTCATGTCATGATTATGAAGGTGTCATGTCAGTCTTATGCACACCCCTTCAAGTAAAGTGTAACCAAAAAAAAAATCTCTTTCTTTAGTACATTTTAAAATGTGATTTATTCTATGTATTATATTCTGTATATATTTAATTATTATTCTGTGCTGGCAAAGCTGAATTTTCAGCAGCCATTTCTCCAGTCTTGAATGTCACACGATCCTTCAGAAATCATTCAAATATGCTGATTTGGTGCTTAAAAATATTTCTTATTTTCATCAATGTTAAAAACAGTTGTGCTGCTTAATATTTTTTTCATAATTTTTGATTAATAGAAAACAGCATTTATTTGAAGTAGAAAAAAAAGGAAAAAAAAATCTAAAAAGAAAAAACGTACTGATCCCAAACTTTTGAATGGTAGTGTATATATATAGTATATGACTTTGTAATGCCTGACCTCTCTTTTTCTTTCTTTCCACTAGTCCCTCCAACTAGCCTGGCCCTTACAGGTAATACCGTCAGGAAGAAGCGACTAGTGGCGCCAACTCTTAGTTTAACACTGGACAAAACCTCTACTGACCGGAGCATGAAATCTGATGAGTTTGATGCTTCTGCCCTTTCACCATCTCCTGATGATGACCCAGAGATGGACATTAACCTGGAGGCCTTAGAGACACCCTCAGACAGCGAGTCTTACAACTTTCCAGACAGCATGCACGACTTAGAGTGGGAAGGTATTCAATTATTTTGACACTCATTAGGGTTGTGTCATTTATTGGTTTCACAAATATGAGACAGGGAAATCTACACAGAGCACTGGTTTACCACTAGTACTGTGGTCATTGCAGATGATCTTCCCAGGATGGGCAAAGCAGCAATCAGAAAAGCCAGTTTACTGGAGCACGCAGAGATGGGACACCTGGACTTGGATCAGGTGGACAGCAATGGGCGACGATGGAGACGATTTCATATTGGCGGACAAGACTATCAAGTCAACATGAGTGTTCTGGAGCCATACCTTCAAGTTCTTTCCCACGGAGGTGAGCTTTTGTGAAACAAGCTGAGATGAACATGCTTTACTGATATTACCAACTAAATTTGACCTTCTTTTTTAGGATATTATGGGGATGGATCGACAGCCATCATTATGTTCACCTCTTGCTACCTACCAGAAAATACAACAGAACACTATGAATATGTAATGGACAATCTCTTCAGGTAAAACCTGATTGATTTGGTATGAATTTTCATTGCAATTACTTTTATTTTCTAAAACTTAAATGTATATTTACGTTTAATGATTTATTTGGATTTAGGTACATTATTGGCACATTGGACTTGATGGTGTCTGAGAATTACATATTGGTGTATCTGTGTGGAATGGCCCCTCGCAATAAGATGCCTGGGATTAAGTGGCTTCGACAGTGTTACATGTCCATCGACAGACGGTGAGCTATACTAGTAGTTACTATGGTGTATCATCAAGTTAAACAGTTTTATAATTGAAGACAACAACAAATTACACATTCAACTCCTGTAATGTGATGCATTTCTGAGTAATGCAGAATATTTAGCAGGCAAATTATGTAGGGCAAGACTTAATTTTATCCATCAGGATTTGATTTCTGTTGTTATATAATGATATTATTGATTAATTCTTTTTTTCTCCTCCCATGTGGCCAACAAAAAATTACAAATTTGATTATGATTATGAAACCAAACTTTCTTTTTGTGATTAAAAAAAATCGATTGGTTAAATTTTGATTTCATATGGTTTTTAAAGACTCCATGGAATGGGTTGACAATTGAAATTTTCTTTCTTATGTTGACATACATACAGTATTTACTTTGGAAACAGGAAGTTGTGGCAGGTCAGATAGCCAATAGACTTTAGTTTGAGACACAGCCTGGAAAAACCAAACAAAACAAAGCTACTTGCTGTTGCTAATTGGTGGCAGGTGAAATTTGGGGATGGGATGTTCTCATTCTAGAGAGTATGTTATTATACAAAAATATGTATGCACCCCTGAGCAAGAGATGATGTCATCAATATTTTTGGTTCACTTTCCCAGAAGAGAAAGACTTATTTTTAAATGTGTATATCTGAAAAAAAAAAACTATCACCGTTTCCACAAAAATATTAAGCAGAATAACTGTTTTTAACATTTTTAATAATAAGATTTTTTTCTTAAGCACCAAATCGGCATATTAGAATTATATGAACGATCATGTGACACTGAATTCTGCAGTAATGACCCCTGGAAATTCACATAAATAAATTACATTTTAAAATATATTAAAACAGAAAACACTTACTTAAAATTGTAATATTTCACAAAATTGCTGTTTTTACTGTATTTTTGAACATTAGTTTAGACAAAAACACATGCACTAAAACAGCCACAAAACGTATATTTTGACATCTCATGAAACTACAGTGGCACTTTCCATCAGTTCCAGAAGAGGGCGCGTGTGTGTGTGTGTGTGTGTGTGTGTGTGTGTAAGCTCTGCCTGTGACAGTCTCGCTTTAGTTTAGTTCCTGTTGAACATGAGAACCCACCTCCACTCTCTCTTTCTTAATGCCCCTCATATGAAATATGATAGGAATGCTGTGGACTCATACATAGAAGGCCATGTTATCGGAGTTCTTCCAGACATTCCTCAGATAACCTTTGACCTCTTCTCAGCTGTCATGTGTTTTTGTTGTTGTTGCTATATTTAGACATTTTTAGATTGCATACTTCATTGCGAATTAGTTGCTTAAGGTTTATAACTCTTGTGTCGGCTCTCTAAGGCCAGTGTGGCTGTTCTCAATGGACGTCAATGTTATTTACAAAATCTCTATGTACTCGATGTATTTTTTGGTTATGTACAGTCAGCCAGTCATTATCTCAAAATAAACCCGATGGGGTGATTAGGATCAGGACAGGGTTCTAAAAGGCCCTGTTATGCGATTATTGACCAGCAAAAGAATTACCATAGTAAATTCATGTTTAATTCTGGCATAGCTATCTCACAGTTGTATTTCATTCTTCCAGGTGAAGGTCAGTCTCATAAATGTTTTATGTGAGGAATTTGTAAACTCTGGAAATTTAAGGTCGACTTATCATGTGAGATCAATTTGGGAAATGAGGAACTAAGGAGTGTGGGATGCTCTTGAAAGCCTGATTTGTCATTCCTACTGACTCCGTTGCGTCACTGCATGAAGTTTCCTCTGAGATCACTCATAAGCTGCTGACTGTACAGACGGCAACAGAAAACAACAGAAAAAACACCAAGCATGACGTCGCACAATCAAAAAGGAACTGCGAGGAGGAAAATGAACTGATAGGATTCATTCGAAATACCAGTGAATCTAAAGGGAAAATCCTGTGATGAAGGCATTTTAGCTACTTTCTCCAGTTTCAGTGCAAACACTGAGATCCTATTCTAAATCGAATTGAAATAAACATTGAGCATTTTGTATTTAAACAAAAATGCCAATAAATATGAACACACAATATTGATCAAATATCAAAAAAGTGAATATTTGTTTCCATATTGCTTCCATTGAAATACAAAGATGAACTTTTTCAAATATTTAAAGCAAAAAAGGGGGATAAAGCAAATAATTCACTTAAATTTGAATGTTTAAAAAATCTTTCAAGTTAGAATATGTATTTATTTGTAATTAAATTGCTGACTCTGTTGCGTCACTGCATGAAGTTTCCTCTGCGATCACTCATAAGCTGCTGACTGTACAGACGCCAACTGAAAACAACAGAAATAAACAGTCAAGCATGACTTCACACAATCAAAGAGGAACTGCGAGGAGGAAAATGAACTCATGTGAAATGCCAGTCAATCTAAAGCAGGGGTGCCCAACCCTGCTCCTGGCGATCGACTGTCCTGCAAAGTTTAGCTTCAACTCTAATCATACACACCTGCCTTTAATTTTTAAGTGATCCTGAAGACCTTAATTAGTTGCTTCAGGTGTGTTTGATTAGGGTTGGAGCTGACCTTTGCAGGACAGTCGATCGCCAGAAGCAGGGTTGGGCACCCCTGCTCTAAAGGGAAACTTTATCCTGCGATAAAGTAAATTTAGCTACACTCTTCACAGTTTCAGAGGAAACACTGACCTTTTCATGGAAAACAAAACATTCTGAGATCGCATTCAAAATCTGAGATCAAAATTGAATTGAAAAAATAAACATTTAGCATTTTGTATTTAAACAAAAATTCCAATAAATACTGTATGAATACAAAAGATTTATCAAATAAGTGAATGTTTGTTTCCATATTGCTTCCATTGGTATACAAAGATGCACTTTGGATCTTTCTGAAATGTTTAAAGCAAAAAGGGGGATAAAACAAATATATATATATATATATATTTGTATAAACTCTGGAATTCATAGTGATTTTTCAATTCAGTGTTTCACTTGAATGTTAATGTTAAAAAATGTGTAAAAAAAAAAGTTTAAAGTTAGAATATGTATTCAACTGTAATTAAATTGTACAATTTTAAAATGTCATTTAATTACATTTCAAATGCAAAATAAAAATAACTTTGACAGTTTCAGACTTTTGGACCCCACTGTAGATCAGAATAAAGTCTTTTGTAGCAAGCAGAATAATGTCTTTGAGCATATGCAAGAAACAGAAAAAAATGGTTCAATTTGCGGATGATTTCTGAGCTAGGAAACCAGTGGAATATGTTATAAACAAACTGTCGTCTCCAAGTTTCTGGCTGTCTGTGTCCTATGATTCAACACCCTGCCTCGCATGGTTTCACACGGGTCAGGGTGGTGCTGGTGCCAGTCGTCATGTTCTGCTGGCATAGTGCTTCTCCAGTGGGAGAACCAACCAGTTATTGGAAACAAAATAGATTTATGTGCTAATACATAGTTATTTGCCTTTGCTTTTCTGATTGAGCTATTAACTATATTTTCTTTTCTGATAAACCCTCTGCAGGTTAAGGAAAGACTTGAAAGGGCTTTTCGTGGTTCACCCAGCCTGGTACATGAGAGCGTTAATCACCGTCATCAAACCCTTCATCAGGTGAGTGTGGATGATCATTAGTTCAGCAAACAGCTCAAAATGTCATAATCATTATTAATACCTAAAGCCCTCAGTCTGACTCCTTTCCCTCTCTCTTGCAGTGAGAAAT